GTCTCTCCTGCCTCGTGATAAATGAGAGTCTATTATTTTCTGCTATGTGGTTTGATCTTAATTTCCTGTATGAAGTTCTCAAGAGAATGCCAAGATCAAATAATTAGACTATTCTTCGATAAAGAGTTAACATTGTTATTCAAATGTATTCAGAAGTAATTTACCACCAAACAATTTACACTGCAGCCCTCCTATCCTGCCGAAATTATCAGAATGTGTTATCTGACACACAAAGCGTCTCATGACCTGAAATAACTTTATCATCCATTAAATGCTTGAGCAGTGGGTGCACGGTCACAGAAATGCCAAAAGGAATGCAGGAGAAGCTACAAAGGCAACAGTAGGGATTTAAAAACACCCTGGTGCCATCCCCTGCCAGCCTCCCCGCAGAACACTGGCCACTCTGGTCACCAGGCACAAGCTGAGCAGAAAAACCCTCAAGCTGCCTTTCTGAGGACTCCCACTCCAGCATTCATGTCCCCCATGGCTGTGAAGCTCCCAGCCCTTGAGCTCTGCCTTTTCAGCCTGGAAAAGCCTGTTTCTGCCTTTATTTTTAAAAATACAACTTCATTTGCAGAGTGTGGGAAGGTGGTTTCAAAATAAAATTCTTGACAGGCATAATAAGCCTCAGAAAAGCCAATCACACAGAGCAGGATAATTATCCACAGAATTTGTTTTCTATGTATTTGTATAAAATAATCAATGATATTTTTCTCACACAGACTCCACTTTGATTGCATTTTCTGTGTTACTTGCAAATCATACAAACAATCAATGCCCTGACCCCTTGTCTATGCAAACACAGCTTAGAAAGACACTACAAGAAATAAAATCCGATAAATTCCTCATGCAGGGTTGTTTGTTTAAAAGCTTTGCTGGAGACTGATTCTGCTCACAGGGACTTCAGAGATACAGGAGCAGGACTGTCAGACATGCTTGAGGTGGGATTACTGCCACAAATATTTGCAGGAATAGAACCTCAGTGAAAAACCTGGCACAAAAATGAGGATTCAGACATGGAGGTGATGCCTTTTAAAATGTAGCAAGGAAAATGAACCCAATTCCCTGGCCCAGCACACTCCTCCTGCAGAGGGGCACACAGCTGGGGTTGGGGTGAGCCGAGGGCAGGGTGGGCTGGGACCCTGCCTGTCCCCTTGCCCACAGAGGGGGGCAGGTGCCACATCAGCTGCACTCCTGGCAGGAGAGGGGTGGCCAAGGGCAGTGATGGCAGCAGGGCAGCGTGGTTACAGTGTCACCTTCTCAGCAGCACCTGAGTGCAAACCCACCCAGGAACCCCCAAATCCAGCTCCCGCTGCCTGCCCAGGGTCTGTTCTTTACAATTTCCTGATCTCAGCCCATGGGTATCTGATCCGCACGTGTCTCACTGTCCCTCAAAAGAATCACTCAAAATCCCTCAAAATAACCGCAGAGCCATTTCTGATGATGCTTCAGCAAAGCAAGAGGCTGGAATGGGTCTGCTGGAGCCACCAGCCCTGCTCTACCTGCGCCACCCATGCCAATCATCCCGCCCTGCTTTGTTAGGGATGGTGCCATCAGCTCTACAAAATGGCATCAAGCTCTCGTCTGTCGCCTTGAAGGGTGCTACTAAAAACTACCGCTTTTTAATCCAAGTGAAAGGTTAGACAAATGGGCTCTCTGCGGTGCCGTAACCACCTCGCTCTCACTCCTTTTAGCTACGAGGGGCGCGATATTGCAAATACTCAGCCCTTCCCACCAGGTGTGATCTCCCGGAGCTCAGCCGCAGTGAGGGCTGGCAGCAGCGCAGGATCCCTCACCGGGGGGAACACGGGGCAGCTCCTCACACCGCCTCCCTTCCCTGCCTCTATTCCAGAGTCACTCGGAGCTGAATTGAGCACTTGGAGCTCCGGGTGGTGTTTTCTGATACGGCATTTTCAAATATTTAACAGATTGCGTAATAACCGAGCAGCTGTTGAATAAGATTCAGATACAAACTCCTGCTTAAAAAAGCCCATCCAGTAACAAGGCACAGATTTTCTTTGTACGGGTGCATGTATAGATAATGTTTAGATGTGTAGATTAAATATTTATATTTTACTGATGGGAGAAAGAGCGCTTTTGGCTTTTCCTTCCTTTTCTTAAATATCTCTCCCTGTATTTCTTTCAATAGTCAGCTTCACAGGGGAAAAGAGAGCTTTGAGAAGTTACCTGCTCTCTCTCTCTCAGGTTTGATTTTCCGTGCTAAACCAATAGTTACTTAAGCGTTCTTCACTTCTTGGCATAACCTAATAATTAAAATAATTACTTGAAAGCCAGGGCAGCTTTGCACAAATTAATGCAGGGCAAGAAGCTGCAGTTTTCCAGTGGGCTGAAAAAGAGGTCACAAAATGATGCCAGTTTTAGCTGAGAGAGAAGGTAAACACAGCTCTCCCTGCAGCCCCGATTAAAGCCTTTTTCTGATCTTTTAAGTTTCTTATTTTACTGATCAAGAAGGTGGCTCGATGAGGGGCTGACTGTTGTGGGATTTCTCAGCAGGTAAAGCTAGACCTGCCTTGGAGTGCTGGCAGTGGCACAGCTGTGCTCCTGCAGCGGGCAATTTTCCTCCCTTCCTGCTCTACTGCCTCCCTCCATCCCTCCCTTCCTGCCTCCATCCCTCCCTCCCTGCCTCCATCCCTCCCTGCTTGCCTCCCTCCATCCCTGCCTCCCTCCATCCCTCCCTGCCTGTCTCCATCCCTCCCTTCCTGCCTCCCTCCATCCCTTCTTGCCTCCCTGCCTTCCTCCCTTCCTGCCTGCCTCCCTCCATCCCTCCCTCCCTACTTGTCTCCATCCCTCCCTTCCTGCCTGCCTCCCTCCATCTCTCCATCCCTGCCTCCCTCCCTGCCTTCCTGGCTGCCCACCCTCCTGCCCGCTGAAGGGAAGCAGAGCTGCAGCAGACCCAAGAGCTTTCGTGGAGGGCTGGCAGCGGTGTCTGCACTGAAATCTCCTCTGTCCTTTCGTGCAATTGCTTTGAGCCTAGAAAATCCATTTTCAGGACAACTGAGGCACTGAGAGTCGAGACTAAACATTTCCCCTGAGCCCCCAGGGATACTCCTGAGCCTGAATATTCCCCATGAGCCAGGCGAGTATTCCCTGGAGTCTCAGCACCCGCCAGCCCCAGCGTTCCCCTGCGAGCATCTGCCACATCTGCAGCTGCCCCTGCCCGCCTCCTCGGAGCCACAGCCTGGCACCAGCCGGCTCTGGTGGCTCTGGTGGCTCTGGTGGCTCTGGTCACCAAGAACCGGGCCCGCTGCTGCCAAGCCGAAAGCAGGAGAAGGTGGCAGCGCGGCAGCCCAGCTGCGACAGCTCCCCCGCACTCGGCTCACGGTCCCAAAGCGGATCTGAGCCCCGGGACCTGTCGGGGAGGGAATTCCGGCACAGCACTGCGGTGCTCTTGGTGGGGACAGGCTGGTGACAGATCGGGGGGGGGGGGCCCTGAGAGCAGGACGCCTCCTCCCCGCTCCTGCAGTGGGACTGGCGATGCCCAACGCGCCCTGTCAGCAGCAGCGGAGCCTTTCCTGCGAGTGGGTTTGTGTGGCACAAAACATTTCCAGCTGTTCCAGGCGGAGGCTGAGCATACTAAGCAGCTTGGCTCTGGTGAAAGTTCAGCAGCCGCCAGGGCCCCGGGCCTCGAAGGCAGATTCATTAACCTTTTCCACCAATATTTCTGGCACTACAATGTGCGCGGGATAACATCTGCCTAGAGCGTCTCCATTCACAGAAGTCTGGGGGAGACCAGATGCTCACCCTGCAGGAATCAAGTCCTTGTCCATGAGACGATCTGAGCCATGCAGCCACTCCAAGCTGTGTTGGAGGTGACAGTGTTTCTCTTCAAAAAGCACCTGTCCCTCAGGACCAGCATTTTTCTCTTTCTGGCTTTCACATTGCTGCTGTGCAGTTGCACTGGCATAAGTAAGATCCCTTTTTTTTCCCAGTAAAAATTATTCACAAATCTATTCAGTTTTCACTGGTTTCTCTGAATTAAAATTTGAACCCTCAAAAGGCAGGTAACCCCGTCCTTGTAATTTTTAGTGGACAGACAACAAATCCCTAGGAATGTGTACCAATGGCAAAGTGCATGGGATGTAACAGAAATCAGCGCCGTTCTTTACATGACATGATTAAAACAACTATCTCGTTTAATTAGAAAAAGAAAGATCGCAGACTCATTCCCAGGATGTTATCTGTGCAATTACTTTATGTAACATTATTAAAAATTAATTTTCCCCAGAACCTCAGCAATTTAATGAAACCCGCCTGGTCCTTAGCAGCAGCTGCAGCGGAGCCAGCCCACTGGCATCCTCCAGGCAGCGGGACTCGGTGCCGCTGGCCCCCTCCGGGCTGTCTGTCCCTTGTGCTGGGCACATCCAGCCCTGGGTCAAAGCACCTCTGCACAGCACCCCATTGCCGCAGGCTCAACAGCTCTCCTCGCACCGGGTACCGCAGCCCTCCTCGTCACAAGCACAGCATCCCCTCTCTCCGGGAGCTCGGCATTCCCCATCTCTGTGAGCAAAAATCCTCCTCCAGGGAATCAACATCCCCCCTCTCTGGGTGCTCGGTATCCCCCGTCTTTGGGGGCTCAGCATCCTCCCTCTCCAGAGGCAAAGCGTTCGTCCTCTCGGAGAGCAAAGCGTTCCCCTACTCCGGGGAATCAGCACCCCGCTCTCCAGAGGACAGCATTCTCCTCTCCTCTTCGCAAGGTACCGAGCACCTCCACCGCACCTCGCCCGGGGCTGCTGCTCGCACCCAGAGCGCTGCTCGCTCCGTTCTGGGACACAGCCCCCGCCTCGCCGCGCCGCCGGCACCTTCCGCCCCGGCACAGGCAGCGCTTCCCCAGCCCCGGCCAGCGCACCCTTCGCCGGGGGAACCTCCGTCCCGGCACCGGACAGCGCATCCCGCAGCCCCGGGTACCGCATCCCCTGCCGCGGCCCCGGGCAGCGCGTTCTCCGCCCCGACCCCGAAGTTCTCCCGCCGCCGGCCCTTACCGATCCGGATGACATGCGGCATCCCGTGCGAGCTCTGTCCCCAGAAGCCGCCGACCAGGAGCGCTGCCCAGTATTCCCAGAGGACGCGGCGAAGCGCCGGCCAGAGATGGGGCATCGTTGGGGAGGGCGCGGGCCGGCGCGGCCCTACGGCCCCAGGGGCAGCGGGGACGCGGGCGGCTGCTGCCCGGGGCTCAGGCGGAGCGGCCGCTCGGCGCCGGGGCCGGGCGGCTCATGGCACATCTTAGAGCGGCCGAGCCGGCCCGTCCCGCGGCAGCCACAGCTCCGGCCGCTCCCTTCCGAGCCGTGCCGAGCCGAGCCGGGCCGTTCCGCTCCGGGCCGAGCCGTGCGGTGCCGGTGCCGGTCGGGCGGCACCTGCGGAGCCGGGGCTGCCGGTGCGCCCCAGGAACGGCTCTGTCCCCTCCTACCGCTGATGCGCGGCTCGCGCAAAGCCCCGGAGTGGAGCGTGCACACACCGACACACTCACACCCCCTGACACACACCCCCGACACACACCCCGACACACTGACACGCCGCTGACACCCCGACACACGGCCCGGCACGCATCGGTACCCGCCCGCTCCCCCGGGGCGAGGGCAGCGCCGGCGGCGGGCGCGGGGCCAAGGGCACCCTCGGCGGGCACCGTGGGACGGGGGGAGATGGCACAGGGGTCCCGGGGTGTTTCTGTCCCTTCTGCCCCTGACGGACCTCTGTCCCGCAGATGGAGGGGTGCCCGAGGTCCCCCAAGCTCTGGGGGGGTCCCTTATGCCCCCGGGTGCCCCGGTGTCCCCGGGAAAGGCAGGGCGGGGGGATCTGGGATGGGGTCGAGCCCGGAGCCCCGGGGACGGGCGGGGCCGGGGCCGGGGCCGGGGCCGGGGCCGGGGCCGGAGCCGCTGCAGCAGCGGTACCGCGGCGGGGGCCCGGCCCGCGCTCCGCAGCCGGGAGTTTAATGACCTCGGTGACAGAGACAAAGGGCTGCCCATGCCGCGGACCCGGAGCTGCTGTGTCAACGTGCTGGGCCTGGCTAGGGCGAATTTCTTTTTTTTCTCATTTAAATAATTTGATCTATTCCATCATTTCCAATCGTTCCCATTTGCCAGCTGTCTGCTAACTCCAGCCTGGAACAGCTGAAGAGCAAATCTTTAATTTTCTTACAAACACACTATTACTCTGTATCGGCTCATCTTTTTAATTCTCCTTGCCCGTCGCTTTCCCCAGCAGCAAGCTCGGCGTGCTGGGAGAAATTCTGATCGCCGCCCTGCACTCTGCTCCACAGACCCATCCCGGAGCAGCCTCCGGGAGCCCGAGTGTGCGGACTGCAGGAGGAACGCTGCAAGTCATTATTGACCTACAACTCAAAGAGAAGTTGCTGGGTGTCGCCTGTGCCAGCAGGCAGCGAGTACGGGGACGGCTGCGGAGAGGTGGACACGCGAGGGATTCCCTGCGTGCCCATTGCGGTCCTGTCGGGGCTCTGGCTGTTTGTACAGCAGCAGCGGTGAGGGATTGGCCAGGGAATGTGACAGCCGTCATCAACACAGAATCAGAAGGAAAAGCTGGAAGAGTCTGTGGCAGATGTACACGCCCGGGGCAGGACCAGCCCCTCCCAGAGATGTTGTGGTGCCTCCCGGGGCCGTGGTGTGACTGGTGCCTGGCTGGGGCGATGGGAAGGGGCTGCGGAGCGTGCCTGGGGTCTCAGCACTGTGTCACGGTGGAGGGGACACCTTACTCCTACCTGAGCACGGGCTCAGAGGGGCAGAGGGGCTGCTCAGCCTCCTCCGAGCTCGGGCTCACAGGAGGGGGGTGTTGGTGTTGATTGTGGGCAGGGCCAGCTCCCAACCCGAACCTTCCTGCCTGTGCCAAAGATGGTTACAGAAAAGAGTGGCTCATGTTAGGGATATTTTTATCCCTCCTGACACCAAAATGGATAAGATTTAGCAAAAGGGCACGGAAGAAAATTTCTTTACATGCTGCTTAAGCGAAGGACAGCTGTTTCTGTGAACTTGTTAAAGAATTAAATGTCACAACCTGGTGGCTCTTTGCACCTGGAGATAAAAAAGCCCCACAAAGCTATTGGGAGGGAGCAGGTAAAAAGGGCTGTTTCAGCTGTGGCTGTTCTTGGCTCTTTGCAGATTCCAGCACATGGAGAAGAGGTTTAATTTTGCAGAGTGTTTAAATTAAACTGTAGCTGGGAGGAAATATTCTATTAGTTTGGGATGCTGCTTCCTAACTTTCTGTCGATATCAGGCATTGATAAGGCTCCAATCTCAGCTTCAGCCACTGGATCCTACTGCAGGGCCAGCACAAATAGTTTATTTAGTATTGAATTATTTGATTAGTGACAGATGGGTGTGTGGAGGTCACAGACAGTCCTTGTCTCGTGCATGTAGGTCAGAGAGGGCAGGACAGGAGCAGTCCTGTACCACAAATTACCACAGGCAGAGGAGCACTCCATGGCTGCTCGTCTCCTCACTGGGCTTTCCATGGCTTCTCCTTCCCGGAGCAAGCCGAGGTGTTCAGCAGAGCAGCCCACCATGGCTGTGCCTCCCTGCCTTTGTATTCCCAGATTCCCACACTGTCCCCAGCCCATCCCTCATGTGTGACTTGGCAATGCTCCTCTGGCTGGGCAGCACCCTGGGGATCCCAGGGCTGCTCTGTGGCAGGATTACAAAGAGGGCATTTTTGGAACTTCTCTTAGGTGTTGCACCACAGCTGCTTGGGGTTTTTTTGCCCCATACAAAGACTCAGTTTCATCTGATGCCCACGGAGGGGCTGCATGGGCCCCGACCTGTGAGCAGTGACCTTCAGCCACCAGGTCAGACCCCAGTGGGGCAGGAGCCTGGTCGTGATGGATAATCACGGCACAGACAGGATGGCTGGATAAAAGAAGGAAGCACCTGGAAGGCTGATAGAGCTCCCCACGAGCCCAGAGCTCTGGCTCTGCACAGGTGAGTGCTGCCCAGTGGCTGCTGGGCCTTGGGAGTGGGATTTACACCAAGCTGAGTCAGGACTCTGGTCAGAAATCTTTGGCTGTGCCTCGAAGGATGATCAAAGGTAGCAGAAAGGCTTTGGCTTTGGACGACTTGTTACAGTGATGCTAAAAATACAAGATACTTGCCCAGTTTATAAGTGCTGTGAAAATAGCTTTAATGTGGTAATTCATCATTTAAGAGTGTATCAATTAATGCAAACTCCGGTGTATTTATAACTTGTGAACATAGTGTACCAGTGAGGAGAAGTCGATTTTTTATTTTGAGTTTGTTGTGAAGGTATTTGGATATATTTTTTTGTGCTGATGTTTTTACAATAAATATGTGTGGTATTTAGAGCTCCAAGTATTACACAGGTCAGATTCAAAATTGTGTACACTTTATGGGGGTTTTAGATACATAAAAATTTCAGTCCTCTCACCTACAAATAAAGCTGTAGGTTTGTGGGTGTTCTCAAGTCACTGATGTAAGACTTCTTATTTTTGAGTATGAAAGGAACCACTTGCAAAAATGGAAAATAGTGTTGAGATTATTAATATCTAGAGGGAAATGCTGATTGACGAAAGACATTTTCAAATCAGACTAATGCTTTAGAGCAGCAGCAGAGCTATGAACCTGGCAGAAAGAGACATAAGCATTTCTATGGCTATAGCATTTTTCAATACTAATGAAGAAAAAGAGCCTTCTCTTATTTCTGTAATGGTATCTAAACTGGTTCGTTCGAATTAGCTCCATCCACGTGTGTTTTGTTTAGATTTATATGCATCAGGTCTAATAGAACCACAATCAATCTGAGTTATGAGGCTCAGGGCTCGCATTACCGAGATTCATGTGTTGAAGTCGGCTCCCAAAACATCAGAGGGAATATACCTGGGAAATGCAGATTCCTAGGACTTGAGTGCCCTCTACTGAAACCGTCCCGGCTCCGGCCCTTCGCTGTGACACCCACAGCTTGATTGATGGGTTGCTAAATTGAATTGAAGCCTGCGATTCACAGATCCATTTTGAAGGATCCCTCCTTTCCTTTCCTTGCCTTTCCCCCCGGGTCTCATCCCGCATTCCAGCACTCTGGTTAATTCTGGCCCCAGCACCTCTGCCACAGCAGATTTCCTGGTTTAAAAGGCAAGTTTAGATCCTGTAAGGAGGATTCCTTTGGCTGTAATCATCTGGGAGCTGATGGCATTGAGGAGCGCTGCGAGCTGCGCTGGGCTGGGCACGGCGATGCTGCGGGAGAAGAAGCTGGCTGTGCCCGGGGAGTTTGGGTCTGCTCGGTGCCTCTTCCTGGGGTGGGAGAGGCTTTAACTCCGTGCCAGCAGCCGGGATGAGCCGGGATGACGCCGGCACCGCGCTCCAGCAGCTCGTGTAAAAGCAAACAGCGACTATCCACATTTGCCCCCTCAAACTCACTGCGATTTGTTGTTACATTTTGCTTGTTGTGGGGCGGAGGGAAGCGGAAAGATTCCTGTTTCCCACTCGGCATTCCATCTGGAAGGGAGAGGCTTTGTGTTTGTCCGTGCCTTGCCTGCAGCACGGGCAGGGATTTTGGGGTTGGGATGGAGGCGCCGGCGGCTCCGCTGGGGCCAGGGCAGGGGGAGCGGCTGCGAACCGCTCCTGTGCTGTGGTGCTGGGCAGCTAATGCCAAATAAACATAAAAATTTGAAAGCGGAGCGGTTTCCCACTTAGATTTTTATGAAGTTTATTCCCGAATTAATTCCCGCTGTGGTGGTGTGGCTGCTCTGTCCGGGGCGGGCAGGGAAATGCGGGGTTCCTGCAAATCTGCGCAATAATCGCGCAAGAATTGTTGCTGCACTACGCTGCATATATTTGTGTTGGAACACACTGTGGTGTAATAGCTGGTTTGAAATGTATCCAGTTCTGCTGAATATATTATTGTGAAAGTCAGGAGAACGCGAGCTCCTGTCAAACCGAGAGCAGCGACGGGAGAGTGGGAAGGGGGCCGGGAGCAGGAGCTGCACTCCCCTCCTTGGCTGGGCTGGCTGCGGGGGCCCGGGGGCTGCAGGAAGCTCAGATCAGAGCCCTGTGTGGGGCCCGTGTGCCTGGGCAGATCAAAGGGCGCTGTCACTGCTCCCTGCAGCAGTTGGCATCTCCCCCACCGTGCAATCCCCACCC